TATACGTTTGTTTCGCTGTGCTAATTGATGTATTTTGTATTGCCACTTGCTTGGCAGTAACAGTTCACTTTTCAGAAATGCAACGTCTTCCGAAGAACTTCACAATCGTCTTGCAGGACTTAAAATGGAGGTGACTTCACGAACTTCGGAAATCTCTACTCAAAATCAATCGCTAGTTTTAAAGACTACTACCGTTGTTTCGCAAACAACCAACAATACTACTGCTAATGGAGAGATCGAAACAAGTCAAACAAATGAAACTCAACAAGTGAACAGTGAGTGAAATCATTGCTAATTTAATTAGAGTGAATTATAAATTGATCCAGTGACCAATAATACTTTATATTTAATTTTTAACACATAATGTATTCCTTTTTAAATGTATATTTTTTAAATTAATATTTTTTAGGTTTCCCAAATAGTATTTGAAAATTGTAAATAATCATACCCTTAATAATCTCATATACTACATAATCCATCGATCGCTTAATATCATGTGTTTGTCTTTCGTCGCTTTTTAATTTTTATTTTTTATTTTTCTAATATTATTTATATTCTTTCGTTATTGTTTTGTTTTTTTGTTATTTGTTATTGCGCAGGCACTACAGTAGAAAGAGAGATTCGCAGCGGTACTGAAACTACAACAACACATGCTACAATTACTCTACCTTCAAACGTCGAGGTCATCAAACGGCACTGACAATGAAAATATTGTGTTAATTAGTATCGGATCTTACTTCAATGCTAAGCCTATACTCCGCGATCCAAATGAAAGATTTATGAATTTTTAGTGTTTCTTAAAAATCGTGCAATATACAGAAATTCTGTACTCATTCATATAAAAACTACCTCTCTTTTAATAATATAAAAAAAGGACGACAATTAATAATATTATTTTTTTAAAACTTTTAAAAAATAATGTTTTTACAAAATTTGGGTGTGACGAAATGATAGGAGGGTATCTTTAGAAAGAAATAAAAATTTTATCAAGATAACATATTTCTTTTAAATTTAATATGTATACATTCCTTTTTTTTTTTCTAGAAGTTTTAATATTCCATTCAATTTTCTAAAAGATTTTATTTTTCTAAAAGATAATAATATTAATTTATTATTTTTAATTCTTTTAAAATTAATAATCACGATTAATTGCAAGTTAATTTTCTTACATATCTAAGAAGATTACATTGATCATTATAAAATTTGGATATTATTTGCTTAAAGATTATTTTTTTCTATTTTATTTCAATGATAAATTAATCTATCTTTAATGTATTTTATCGCTATTTCTTTATGTATAAATTTTGCATAATTGATTATTCAGTTTAATATTAATAAAATAAAAAACTTTTCTTTTGTTTTTAATTTCTCAAACTATTATTCAATGTGCAATTAGATGTAGTTGTTTATACATCACAATCATTCAACAAAGTTCGATTTTAATTTTAATAAATTAATATTTTAAGCGAGCGATTTTAATAATTTTGACTCAAACTAATATTAAATAAATATGTATTTTAGATTTTATGAAATTTAATTTATAATTTTGTAGAGAATTTCTGTATATTAATTTATTTTTGAGAAACATTAAAAATTCAAAGGTATTTTATTATTTTTTCGCGGAATTTATAATTAACGAAAATTTATTTGATTTCGTTTACAATTATAAAATGAGCGAAAATATAAAATAAAAATGAAGCGAATGCGATTAATAACAATAGTGATTAATGAGAAGAAGAAAATGATTTTAAATCTCTTCTAAAAAAAATAAATCCGGAAATATGTTCTTAAAAGTTAAAAGAAAATGTTGGCAAAATTTGTACGCAGAAGATCCGGATTTTAGCTCTCAGTGGTTTTCATATTTTAAGAAAAGACAAAAAAATCACTAATATTCTTTTGCAAAAAAAAAAAGAAAAAAAAAATAATGCGTCCTTTTATATATTATAATTCTATAATATAATACTTTTGTATGGATAGAAATAACATTATTCACAATCAGCATTGACTTAAGAGCAGTATGATCGATGCTGCTAATTTTTATAACGTCTGTACCTGGGTCTCGTACCCTCGTGATTATCTATGTTATATTATATGCATTTACATAGATTGTATACTATGTTATATGAAATCTAATTTTTTACAATTCTCCTCCTGTAGATCTTAGATGAGGTAAAGATCTAATTAAATTTTTATTGATACCAGAAAATGGTATTATTCTTGGATTATCAAGGGGAGTCAACATTGTTGTATGATAGATTTTAACAGATATATTTGAGTTATTCTGGCTAGCTATATCGTAAATGATTGATTTATTCTATTTAAAAGTGTAGAATTACCCAGGGATATGTTCCAAATTCTTAATTTTTAAGCAACAGAAAGAATAGTTTTTATAGTTATAGTTTTTAAAAATATTTGTATTGAAATCATTCAGGTGCTCTTTAAAAAATATTGAAATATTAATATATTTTGATTTTCCTTTGAAGAAAAGTAATGGAATTCTATTTTTAGAAATTGTATCGAGAATTCTTCTAGCTTTGCTTCCACTATTGTATTGTATTGTGCAATGTGCGAAATTTTTTTATGGTGTTGGTGATGCTCCTGCAGGCAGAATGCTAGCCAGAACTTTAGTAACAGATCTTCAATCATTTGAATTGTTATTGCGTTAATTGTGGACTCCTTATTTTCTTGTTGATCCTTCTTATTTCTTGAAATTGGATTTGGATATGAATACATTTAGATAATTATATTCAAACATATCGGATAAACAATAATTTTATTTTAATTAAACATTTTAATTAAAAATTTTTATATTTTTAATTATTTTTATAAACATCGTGATAAATTTAAAAAAATGAATTTGTGGAGCCGTGTTTGATTCGAATTTTTTTATGAAGAGATCTTCAATCACATTTGTAGAACATCACTACGTACGTACATCAAAAATAATTTTAACATGTTTTTTATTTAATGAGATTACATAAATGCAGTGCTAAAAAAATATATATATATTTTTTTTTATATAAGATAAAATCAGTTCAAGAAGTTTTCGTTGCTGCTTAAAAGAATGAATCAATGTTCATTTTTAGCAAAAAAAAAACTTAATAATTAATGAATATAAACAATAATTTCCATGATTCTCGTTTCACTACGTCATAGTCATTGATAGTTGCATTTTTTCCGTTGCTTAATCTCTCTAAGTCTTTTTAACGTAATTTTACTTAAATAGCTACTTCTCTATTTTTTGTTAGGCATTTTCGCAACATGTTTTTTTTTTTTCTTGATCTTTTATCACTATTCATCCATATAATATAGATGATTTAAGTTGCGTTTTTTTTTTTTAAATATTATTATTTAGAAATATGTCGTAGCACAACATATTCGTTGCGTTACAATATGGCTGCCATGTTCACAATTTGTGATGTATCTTATTTCTTTGTACAGGCTATAGTTTTAAATTATATTTAGTTTCGTGCGTCATGAAACAAATCGTAAAAATTTCTCACGATTCTTTTTTAAAAAAATGTATCAATAAAAAATATTTTGAAATTGTATTTAATGAAATAATGTTTTAATAAATTGATCTACAGATGACACAATACAAAACATTTTTCTTGCATTTTTTTTAAAGATTTATTTATAAATAAATTATAAAATAATTATTAGGCCTAATTCTATTAACAATAAAGCCTAAATTTAGGCCTAATTTTATAGGCCTAGTATTAAATTTTGTTTCGCTTAATATAAAATTGATTGTCAAATCCGATGGAATTACAAAATTAAAATATAAAATACTATGATCATGGCAGTATATAATCGATTGACTTATCATTATTTGAAATTCATTCTCTTATGATTTATAGCATAATTATTGTGATTTACAAATTTGTCAAATCAATTGTAATATCAAAAATATCTTACTTTAATTTTGCATTTTAAATTTTACTCAAAAATTTGTCTCTGAAGTCAATAATTATAAAAAAGAATTATTAGTATATTGAAAATAAATTAAATAGCATTGTACATTATCATATATACTTGTATATATGGTCTGAAAATTATTCTACTCTTAAATTAAGTTATATGAATACTGTAAATTAATAATATATATATATATAATTCATATAAATATAATGTATATAATCAATATGAAGATAGAAAACCTTAATGTTATAATAACGATAAAATGAATAGCATCGACTGCACTTATTATGTAATATTTAAAAAATATTAAAAAAAAAACTATTAATAAACTTTCAATTTTCAATGAAAGTGAAAACTAAGATTATTAAATGCGAATAACAGAATTTTTTTGCGTACAATTTTATCAATGTATATGTATCTGTATATATCGAAAATTTTCTTTCATATTTTTATTAATATTTTTTTCTCTTTTGTTTCAACATTATTCGTATTTGCTTAATTTATATTAAATTTAAAATAATAAACGAAATTAAATAAATTCTTCGGTACAAGGTCCAATCCAATGTATTGTGCTACCAGAGCACCTGTATTATTAATTTTATTACAATTGTAAACTATAACAAAGTGAAGTCAATGCGCTAAATGAAAAATGTATGAAAAAACAAACGTAAGTATTTCTGCTATTGTAAAATTATTTGTTTTTTATCTTGATAAAATATTACACATTGTATACGATGAATTGTTAAAACTGCCCTTAAAACATTTCCTGTTTGTTCCTTTATATTTATAAATTATATACATATAATAAAATTAATATATGATATGTCTATCTTTAAAATATATGCAAATTTATTTTTTAAGTATCATGAAATTTTTAAATTTATATAATTTTAAAAATAAAAAGTGAATAAAATTTTTTGTTTTATTTTTTGAAAAATTATATTTTATAATTATACATACATGTAATTTATTGATAAATATTTTTCAAATTAATTTGAAAATAGTATAAATAATATAATATCGAGTAATCGAAAAACGAACCGGAAATATTATCGATCATGATTCAATTAATGCTCACCAGATGACGCACAAAGTTTTCAGGCGTGTCGAAAAGCAGTCGCGCTTGCGTACTTACATATGTTCATCGTGTTCGTCGTTGTGGTGGTTACGGTTCAGAGATAGTAGTGTGCAACAGTAGAATAGGACTTATTGAGTAAAGCATTTATGGAAAGTGAGCGAAAGTGATAGAGTGCCATGATAAAGTTGTACGAGTGGACAATTGAATCTTATAATTGAAAGTCCAAAAAAAAGGTGCGTTCACGATAAAGGTGTCGAAGAAGTGAATCGTGATTGGTGAATCTTAGACGGCCATTATTGTGCGCCATTCGGTCTCCGGTGCAGATCCGCGCAGCGAAAGGGCAGATGCCCTTACGCGGTTCGTGTTCCCATTGGTGGGTACGCGTTAATCTACCCGGATCGACACACTTCGTGAGATCCGGTAGTATTTCTCAAAACGTATTCTTGAACATACTAAATTTAAAAAATATAAAGACAAGTAAATCAACCACCTCCTGTGAAAAGCGAGTCTTTTGATAGTCGACTCGATAGTTGTGTGATCTCTGTCTAATAGCAACAGTAGCAACCGCAGCGCCGTCAACAACACGACAACGATAACGACGACAGTAGCGCCATCAGCGCGACCGCCATCGCAGCGAAAAGAAACAGTATTCCTTTGAGGAAAGAAGAAATGCCTGTAGGTTCGCGATCAGTGGCGCGACCAAAGATGGAGGCCACGTCCAGTTTGTAACACGCAGCCAAGTCTCGTTCAAAGCGCACCAACGGAGCCACGAAGCGCTCCTCGAGTCGGCTGTCCAAAGTCGCTTTTGCCCCGTGCTACTTTTCTTCGTGAGCCCCGCGAGGCTGGAGAATGGAGCTACGCGTTGGAAATAAGTACCGGCTCGGACGGAAAATCGGGAGTGGCTCCTTTGGCGACATTTATCTAGGTAATTTTTTTATTTTCGACATTTACCTTTTACTTAGATTTCCCCCACCTTCCTATAATCCACCCGTCTACCCACACGACGGTTACATATTTGCCCTACGACATGCATGAACGCGCCAACTCCCCCGTGCATATATATATTTTCTTTTTCTAACTGCGTGACTGGGCCTTTGGCCTTTTTGTCGTTTCTTAGGTACCAATATCTCTACCGGCGAGGAAGTCGCCATCAAGCTAGAATGTATAAAAACGCGGCATCCACAGTTACACATAGAATCAAAGTTCTACAGGATGATGCAAGGTGGTGGTAAGTAAATTTTCATCTACTATTTATGCTCCACCTTGATTTTGCATATTCTCATGTATTTTGAAACTTATACCGTCACCTGAGAACTGTCAGAATTTTGTGTTTGTTGGACAGCTGGTTGGTCTGGCCACTGAACCTTCTCTCTTTCTCTCTTTCTCTCTCTCTCTCTCTCTCTCTTTCCTCCCCACCCCTCTTTCATCTCCTTGCTATTCCTTTCTTCCTTTTTCATTGTCTGTTCTTTGTGACAATAAGGAACTTTACCGTTTTAACGTTTACATATTTAAAATTTATAATATAAATTGAATAATTCTAATTAATTCCAATATCTAATGTATGAGTTTTTTTATATTTTTCAATCTTATATTGAAGTATACATTAATAAAGTATATATTATACGCATTAATTTATTTTTTGTAGACTAGCATTGATAAATAATATTCCATAGATTTTAGTCGTTTTGGATATGTCATCGACACAAAATTATTTAAACATTTTGAAATAAATATAAATATATCTTTATTCGTTCTAAAAATTTTTATATAAAGATTTCTTTAGAGAGATAAATATCTTCGTTGCAAATCTTATCTATTGTTAACACTAATTCTTACAAATATTAAATACTGATTCTTTCGTAGCGTACTTTTATCTAATTGTCATATTTCCAATAAATAAAAATGATTAAAAAGATTATTATTTTGTATATATTATGCGAAATATTTCAAAATAGACGAAATCAAAAGTTAATCTTGCTTAATATTTGTATTATTGCATAAATTAATTCGTTAGTGAATTTTATGAAATTACTAATTAATTTTTAAAAGATTAAATGAGATTATATTTAAAAGATTATATTTATAATTTATAATTCTTTGCAACAATAATGATTGTGTTGTATGTTGGCATAGAAAAAATATTTCATGTCTAAATTAGGCTTGTATATAGGCCTTTAAAAATAAAACGCGATGCAACATATAAGTCTTAAAATTCATATTGATATGATCAAAAAAACTTTTTATTATAAATGAATAAGAACAATTAAAATAAAATAATATATATATATATAATATATATATAAATAATATTATAGAATATAATATAATATTTAAATTTTTTTAATTGCTAATAAGGTCTATTTTTATATTAATGGCCTCAATAATTAAATTATATTTTGTTTTTTTTCCTCAATAATTAAATATAAAATCAATATCTATTATGTTATATAATTTATCTTACAAGATAGCATGCAATATCTGAATTCTAATATTTTCTAATATATTCATATTTATCAATAAATATAAAAAATGAATATTATGAAAAAATGAAAATATAAATTAAATGTCTGAATGTCTATCTACCATACAATTTTATCATTCTATTTTTTATGCAATAATATTACTTGTAAATTAAAAATTCAATATTATATGAATATTTGGATATATATAAATTTTTTATTTATAAATTTTAATACAATTTAAATATAATATATATATAATATTATCAAAACATATTTATCGTAATATTTCAGTTGGAATACCAACTATAAAATGGTGTGGTTCAGAAGGTGACTACAATGTAATGGTAATGGAGCTACTAGGTCCATCATTGGAGGATCTATTTAATTACTGTTCAAGAACTTTTTCTTTGAAAACAGTCTTGCTTCTCGCCGATCAATTGGTAAATAATAATTTTTTGTTGAAATCAAAATATTTGCAAATTTTTTTTATATAGAAATATTTCTTTTTTCTTTAGAAATATTCTAATTTCTTTGTTGTTTTAATGAATTGTACACATAAAATGTTTAAATGAAATTTATTTTTAATAATAATTTTTTATGAATAATATTTGCACTATTTATTAATAATAAAAGATATATTGTTTTATCTTAATCATTTTTATTTCTTTTATATACTATAAAAAAATGAAATTTATAGTTTATACTTTAAAACAATTGGAAAACAAATGATTACATATGTAACTTTATCTTACTTTATTGAAACAAGATTCTGTTTCTGTAATACCATTATAATTACAACCATATGTACAATAATGTTCAAAGTTCAAATTGTGATTATATGCAAGTATTTATTATTCTGTTTTTTGTTACTGAAATAAATTACAATATAAATTACATTCTTATCAACTAACAATTGTGTCGGCTGATAAGAAAGCTTTTTTATTCTAACAAAAACAGTAAAGCAGAACTAAAACTGATATATAAAGCTTTATAACAACTAAAATCTTTTTAATAAAATCTTTTTAATAAAAAATGATTTTAAAAAATCAATCATTTAAATGTAGAATTCATTTAGAAAAAAAGAAATATATTCTTGTTATTGTTATATTGAATATTTTTTATTTTATTAATTGTGAATTATTATTAAAAACTTTATATTAATTATATTTGTGCAATAATAATACTAATCATAATTATAAAAATATGTTGAATATGTGATATAAATTTTTTTCTTTTTTTCTTTTTTACTTTATACTAATATTAATACTTTTTACAGAATATTATCGCATCTTTTCTTAAATATTTTTTCTTACATGTAATTTATAATTTGAAAAATGATAAAAATGATTTACAAAATATCTTTATATTCTGACTACAGATAAGTAGAACGGATTATATTCACAGTCGCAATTTTATCCATCGAGACATCAAACCAGATAATTTTTTGATGGGCTTGGGAAAAAAGGGAAATCTCGTATATATTATAGATTTTGGATTGGCCAAAAAATATCGCGATGGCCGTACTCACAAACACATACCGTATCGAGAAAACAAGAACTTAACAGGGACAGCCAGGTTTGTTTATTAATATACAGTTTCATTTGCATTACAACATTTTATATAATTTTTTCCTAGTATTTTAAAAAAAAAAAAATCAATTTACGCATTAATAGATACGCGAGTATTAATACACATTTGGGAATTGAACAATCACGACGAGATGACCTTGAATCCTTGGGATATGTTCTTATGTATTTCAATAGAGGTAGCTTGCCCTGGCAAGGTTTGAAAGCTGCAACTAAACGACAGAAATACGAACGTATTTCTGAAAAGAAAATGTCTACACCTATCGAAGAATTATGCAAGGGTTATCCTGGTAAATTTCTCTTTATCAACTGTACTGTTATATTGCACATCATTATAAAAAATATGATCGGATCAATATCATATATTCACTCTATATTATAAATATTTTCTATTATAAATAAATATTTTGTTATTATAGTTGAGTTCGTGCAATATCTAAGGTATTGTCGAGGACTACGATTCGAGGAAAGGCCGGACTATTCGTATCTTCGGCAACTTTTCCGGACGTTGTTCCACGAAGAAGGCTTCACATACGATTATGTCTTCGATTGGAATAGGCTGAAATTCGGTAATGTGAGGCAACAAACATTGTCTTCGACTCAACAGACACCGATGCAATCGCAACATACGAATGCAGCGCTGCCTTCTGGGACTAATAATGATCAAGAACATCGATCTAGGTTGGTGTTTCATGACAGAATGAATAATATATCCGCAAATCGCGAACCGTTTGCGTATGAAATTAGACGTGAAAATGTTAGCAATCGCATCTCTCTATGCTGTCTTTCCATGCATATAAATAGCATGGTCATTTCATTACCCAGTACGTTCTATTCTTAGCGGGTAGGTCAATGAATCGGGAAATAGTCCTGTTTAACAACATAAATAACCAAATAGATTTTTTCTCTGATCTATGTTGATTATAAAAAGTATTTGCACATTATTATATTCGTCATAAGATTCACATATTAATTAATTAGATCAAATACATTATATTTTGCATCATTTAATTATATTTTTTATATTTATATAATAATTTAATATTACATTAGATTGGAAAAAACGTAATTTCATTGAAAAGTAAATATATATCTGAATAAGTAAATTCAATAAGATATGTGTAAATATTTCTTCCTGTTCACTATATGTTTTTCTTTCTTGTTTATTTCGTTTGTTTTATTCTATATTATTCGTTGAAATAATTTCGATATTAATAAAACGTGTAATATTATTTATTACCATAATCGTATCTTTTTTTTTTTTTTACAGCCCTTACACCCGGCAGTGTTTGGCAAACATATCAGTGGGAACAGTGGGTCCGACTGTAGGTGGAACAACTACAAATTTGAGAAGCATGCGGCAAAAACGCGAGGCGATAGACGCTCTTCGCGATCAGGACAATCAGGAGAGCGATCTTCAAGGTAAACCACAGTTCTACCCAAAATTATCTTCTAAGCCGGTTATAACCCAGCAAAAAATGCGGCTCGAGCATCCGCAGCTAACTAGCAACGAAACGCCACGCGTGAATCCGTGTCAGTTCAGTACATTCAAATCATCACCGGTTAGAATAGCGCCAGATGCGTCCCTGGACATTGCGGGTCTTAATTTAGGACCCCGCGAAACAACTTCGAATCGTGCCGAATTGAACTGCACTACGTCCCGTGACTATTCAGTGAACAGATTGCCCGATGGTAGTCCGAATGCATCGTTTCGTCAACCGGATAAACAGAGTTATTTTTTTCAGTCATATAAAACCGAGAAAAACTTCGAGATGATGATGTTTGATCGTCCTGTTCACGATGAGAAAAAAGTTGATCACGGGGATGATGTCGTGGCATCCGGTGGCTCATTGAATTGTTTCAGTAGCGTGGAGAAGGAGAAAGGCGCTGATTACGATGACAAGAAGCAAAAAGGTTCCACGCTCGGTGGCCGCCATCACATTTCGACCCACGATGCTCGTCGTGATTCTGGAAACGTAGAATTCCTTGAAAAAGAAGGCGAGATTTTCAAGATAAGCAGTAGCGAATTATTGCAAGATGCGTCGGCCAAAAAGAAACGAAACTTTTCTTTCAGTAACAAAGAGAAGACGCACAGAAGTTTAGAATCGTTAGAAAGAAGTATAGATTTGTCGGCTAAAGATTCGAAAAGTTTAGATCTGTTGTTCGAGGAACGATCGAAAGCATTTTTTCATGGGAAACAAAGAAGCCTGGATTCTTCCCAGAAGTCAAAAAAGTCCATGGATTCGTCCGCCAACAAAGCGCGAAAGCGGCCGAATTTCTTTCAACGTGTTCGAAGAAGCTGGCATTTTTTACTCATGCAGCGCAGAATCAAGCAACGAAATAAATATGAACGGCCACTGAGCGGTAGAGAAAAATGCGAATATTTTTTGCGCCGACTCCATAAAAATGATTGTCTTGAAAATGATTTAAGCTTGTCGATCAATCATTCGCAGACAGAGTTGAATCTAAGTTTTTTGTCTAAACCTGATGATATAAAGAAAGATGAATTAATTTCGAACGAGAAAAAAGATGAGAAAGAAATTAAAGTCGTGATAGAGGATGCTATAATTGTAATGGAAGATGCTAAATTTCGCGTAATAGATGAGGAAAATAAATTACCTGATGGAGATATCGATGATAAGCCACCGGAAGAAAATGATGAAAAGCCCCCGTTGGTCAATGAAAATGATATTGCACGAAAATTACAAGAAGTAATAGGAACTGAAAAGAAAGAACATATCGTTGATTGGGTAGTCACTATAGCAAATTTAGACGCTTTGAGTCATGCTACCCGTTCGAACGAATCTGTCAGTTATGGTATATTGCATGGTACCCTTGGTATATTGAAGGGTATTCTTTTTGATATTTTTCTCTGTGTATGCATCTAATATTATTTTGTATGCAATTTATATTTATCGAAATCTTACATCACATAAACACGCAGTGAGCAACTTTTGTTATTCATATTGATATTTTTCGTATGTTGTTATGCCAATTTTTTACACTTTCATCACTGTGTCAGGGTCAATAAGGTACAATCTCCAAGTTTCTAGTTTCACTCGGGACAGGTGAGAATTATGACGTTGAATATTACAATGAACAAATATTACTGAAGCTACTATTGCACCAATAGCACTTCTATTGTTTAGGATTAAGATTAATTCTACCTTTTCTCATGACCTGAAAAACATCGACATTGCAAGTACTATTATACTCGTCGGGTTGTGTCGTAGAACCTGTTTCAAGGTATTCTGTTTCTAAACTTCGCGAGCTTTCACAACACATACAACTACAAATATTTTTTTAAAATTATAGAATATCTTTTAAGGGCGCACAAAAATGTAACTGTTAGATTTGTTATTTTGTATTGCTGAATTTTTTCGATCTCTACAACTATATTTAAGATAAAATATTTTTATTGTATCACTGCCATTTTTGAATCTCTTTAAAAAGCTAAATATTTTTTGATATCTCTATTTTTTCATCCGTCAGCCACAAAACCACCCACCGTTAACGAATCTTTCTTCTGATTCCATGTATAAATCTCATTTTCAAAATTGTTAAATAACAAAAAATAATATGTGGACCCGTCCAACATGTTTTGACTAATAAAATGCCTTTAAAAAGAAACGCCTTTATATTAATGACTGATTAAACGTAAGCGACGAACGATCTTCGTCAGATGTACAGAGAGCCAAAACAAATAAACCATCGTATGGCATAACAACGTACATATATATATAGTCGATCGATGTATTAATCATAATTCGCGGAAAAAGGTGTAACTCTCTTAATTAACGAGATACGCATTCACCAAGTTTATATATTTTCATATAATCGTATTACATAATATTACCAAATACTCGCGCATCGTGGCGTATATATCTTTATTATAGCGAGAAAACATGCGACTGAAACATTTCAACGATATCTATTCGGATGACATATTTACTTCGTCTCCTATCGATATGTTTACAAGTCAAGAACACGTGATGCTTTATTCCATCATGCGAATATTTCTTAAAACGTTTCTATATATATATTTGAAACGTAAATTACTCGAACAATTGTCCTTCGAAATAGAATTTGTGAGAAACGAAAAATACGTTCGTCATTGCATTTCATATTCAACGTAACGCGGTTCGAGGGCGCTGTATATCTGCACAATGAACGAGATTTATATCTATAAAAGAAATTCGAGCATACTTCTAGTAATTTTTATATCGTCGAAAGCTAGTTTTGTAAAGTGTTATATATATATTTTTTTTAATCATTACATTATTATTATTATTAACATTATTCGCTAGAAAAATTCAAAACGTAATTATAATGATTTTTGATCGTATTAAATGAAAATTTCAAAATTCGCCTTAATACTTCGATTAATTAATTTATTTCAAATTGTTATTATTTCGTTTGCAAACGCGATAATATCATCGAAATTTTACTTGAACAAATAAGGATTAAATAAAAATGTATGAAATAATATATAAATGATATATATTCGAATCGAAAATGAACGTATGCGAATTGTGAGCTTGAAGATATTACTTGCATCGAACTCGCATCGTAATTAATAGATAGCTTTACCAGATATTGTCATGTTTGTTTGTATTGGCAGTTTTCCGATTGTTTCATCGCGATATCATTTACCAAACATTGTAATCGTCCACAGCGTTTCTTGTCCTTGACGCGTACATTTGCTGCTCTCTTTTTAGAAAGAAAAAGTGAAAAGAAAGATGGGAGTTTCTTATACACAACAAAGGCAATGGTATAAGTTAATTTTTCTTACGAGTATAATAGAAAAATTATAAATAATAATTTTTTCGTAACTGCGAACGTTTATTATGTGTTGTTTTCGAGATTCCGGCGCGATGGAAGAAGCAAAAATTTTTTTATATGAGAGGATTAGTTGTCAGGGAATGGAATCTATAAAAATTTCATTTCATTCAATCACTCATTATGCAAAGTTATTGCAAAAAAAAAATTGTTTTCTTTGTTGTCAGTGTATCACATAGTAAATATTTATAATACAGTAAATATTTTATAATTATAAAAAAACTATTTGACAAGAATCTTTTTTTAATGTAATCTAATGCAAAATCAAAAAATCTTTGAAATAATGTAATACAATAATAAAATTTTTAGTTTCTATTTAATAAAGCTTTTAATATATTTGAAGTTTTTCTCATTAAAATAAAATTAAATATGATAATTTGAATTATATTTACGTGTGTGATAATAATTTTATTCATTAAGTAAATAAAATTCAAATTATATCGTATTTGGTCTTGTTTTAATTAGAAAAACTTTAAAAATACGTTAGTAAAAGTTTTATTAAAAAGTATTTTTAAATTTTATTATTTGCATTAATATTATTTTATTTTTATTTTTTTTTTTCAAATACTTCAATTTTCAACCTTTTTTTTTTTT